CCATATTATAATACAACGCTCTATCTACAAAGGCCACACCACTGGAGCAGAGTACCTTTAGCACTGTAAAAGCTGACTGGATGAGAACTGGATCTGCACCTCTCCATATGACCTGATTTCCCATGAGCACGTGCCAAGCTAGCTGTCGAAAGTCAGGAGCCCCGAGGACCTGCCGAACGAACCACAATGTTTACTAAGCAACAGCTCACACATACAGTGTATGAGCTCTTTTTTTAACCAATATGTATCACTTTACCATATAAATGATTGCAAAAACACGTATTTTTCTTTATTCATTCAATCTCAGTTTTCTATTGCTGTTCATGTTTAAGTTGGGTATACATTAGCAAACTACAAATGTGCTTAAGTTCACCTGTCTCAAATGCCTCAGTGACCTAAATTTTGGACCAGGTAATTCATCCAGTTTTGTATCATCGCTCAGGAAGTTGTGGGCCAGCTCGGTCTCTGACAGGTGCCTCTGCGTCTTTGAAGCACCTCCTTCTGCTCCCTCCCAGCAGCTCATTTCCTCCTCTTGCTCTTTAAAACACATGACATTAAAAAACTGAAATAGCAAATGCTTTCAAGCAAAGGTTCATTACAAATGTGGGGAATTTCCGTAGGAAACTGATAAACGGCGGTTCATACACCACACGAGTCATACCTACACAACTATCATCATAGTGCACACATGAGGATAGCTACCCACTGTTTCCAAAACAAAAAAAAACAGACTCTGTTAGTAACACCTATGACCTGCACTGCATAGCGACCACATTACTAAGTACAGTGTTTCAACTACTTGGTAACACAAATATCCGGCCAACTCACATGATAGCAACCCTGTTCATTTATTCATGTAGTCATGGTCAACATGACCTGCTGACGTTTAAAGTGATCATCATAATGGGGAAGAAAGGTGATTTATGAGACTTTCAATGTTGCATGGTGGGCTGTGGCCTGGTCTTAGCAGTTCTGCTGATGTTCCCACACAACCACACAGAATTTACAGAGAATGGAAAAAAAAAGAAGAAAATACCCAGTAAATAAAAAAGAAAAGAAAATATACAGTAAGGAGCAGTTCTCTAGGTGAAAATGCCTTTTTGACATCAGAGGAGAATCACCAAAACTGGACAACTTCCAATTGGAAGCTTGGAAAAATACTGCCTAGTGATGAGTCTCACTTTCCGCTGCAATATTCAGATAGTAGGGTCAGAATTTGGAATAAATAACATGAATCCATCCTGTCTTGCATCAACAGTTCAGGCAGCTGCTTGTGGTTAGGCCCACATTTTCTTTGACTTCTTAGTACCAATAAAGAACCATTTAATTGCCACAGCAAAGATCGGCATTGTTTACTTATTGTTATAAATGTATTGTCATAAATCTGAAGCAACTGTGTGATGTTGTCATATCATTATGAACCAAAATCTCTGAGGAATGATTCCAGCACCTTGATGAATCTTTGTCACAAATAATTAAAGCACTTCTAAAGGTAAAACAGGACTCAACCATCTCCTAGCAAAGTCTATGTAATGAGTGTCCATTTGGTGTATAAATTAACAGATTCTTGGTCATATGACCCAGAATAGGATTTAAAATTCCAGAGCTTATACTGTCAGAGAAAGTTTCACTGTAAATGTTGGGTTTCTTTTTTTGTACATGATATTACTGAATACTGACTGGAATTGTGTAAACTCTCTGGAAAGTTGGGATGCTTTAGTGAATCACTGTTTTTCTGGCGTCTCTCCACAGACTCGTCTGGTGATTCACACTTTCACCAGAGCTTTCTCAGTCAGATGATAAAAACCATAAGCATGTTGTTCAAACTAATTACATGCTGTCATGAGTTTAGGTTAATTTAGGAACAAAATGAACCTAACCACATCTAAAAGAAGTGGCTTTTAAACTTTTTCACACACGTTCCACTTCAGAAGCTGGGTCAAGGTGACACTGCACATTTTTTTAAACCAGTCATCAACAAGAAAAAACAGATGCACGTTGAATTTTGTTTAAAAGCTTCAGCAATTTACATCAGAAAATTCCTTTTCGCCTATTTTCCTTTTAAATGCATTTTTTCAACTTCATGTTTTTCATCTGGTTGTCTGAGCCCCACCAGTGGGACATATAATTCACTCAGAGAACCACAAGAATTTGCTGGTTAGAATATCTTTCTACCCTGGAACACGGTTCATGTTCCAGGGTAGAATAATTGCACAGCCAATATCTTTGATGACTTTAAAAAATAAGAATTGGGTGCACCAGTTTGGCTATAAACATACATTCACTGTTGTGCTGAAGGTTCTACAAAGTCTTTACTTGCCAAGGCCTATTAATTTTCTCTCGTTGCCAGCATAAAGAGATTTGTTTGACAGCACTCATTGGATTAACCACTACTCAGAACAATGGGAAAGTCAAAGGAACTCAGGGAAGATCTAAGAAGAAGAACTGCAGATTTACACAAGCTGGGACGGTCTCTTGGATCCATTCTAACCAACAGATCAGAAAATACACAGATTCGAAGGTTATCAGTTAAAACCATTGTATGCAAATACAAATTGTTCAGATATGTCACGACTTTACCAGGTTCTGTAAGAAGACCCAAACTGTCACCGTCAGTTGATACTGGAAGACTTGAGCCAGGAAGCACCAAGGCTCAAGTCTGCCTTGAAATGTCAAGCACTGGGCTGTAAGACCTTTTGACTGACAGTCAAATAATATGTTGTACAAAGTGGATAGGATAATGAAGAAGGATGACTAACTCCACGCAGTTGGTATTCCCACAGAATAATGATCCTAAACACATCAAACCTGGTTTTGGAAGGGATAAAGCAGGCTAACACTAAGCATCTGAAATGACCTTCCCAAAGCCCTGACCTCACTCAGAAAATCTGTGGACTATGCTTATAAGCTGAGCTGGTTCAACAAACCAACAAATCTAAATGAACTCTGCCAAGAAGATGGGTCAACTACCCAGCCCCCAAAATATGCCAGATACTTATTGAGCAATTAAGGTGCAACTTCCTAAGGAACATTAAACCAAATTTTAGAGGGAGTGTATGTATATATTTGAGTCTGTATGTATACTTTTGACACTGTGTGGATTAGAGAAAATCCCAAATAAATTCAATCTTGTACATTCAGTTCTTGCTTTTTAAAGTCATTAAAGATGTATGCTGTATAGTCATTCCACTGTGGAAAAATAACAGTTCAAACAAATCATTTAAAGCCCAAAATTACTATGAGATTCATGTTCATGATGAGTGTATGCAAATTTCTGATCACAACTGTATATACATAAATAAATATCACGCCTCTTAATCGAGGTCAATGCATCTACCCGTTTGTCTCTCTATGAGCACCAGAGTGTCCTCGGTGGGGGCTCCTTCCAGGAGCTTCTCCGTCAGACGGCTACCACAAGCTTTAAGTAACCTGGAAGTGAGGTGAGACCACTCATTAGCCGGGTGAGAGACTGACTGGAAAAAGAAGAACAGTTTCTTTGAACCTAATGACTCACCAGCTAAAGGAGGAGTGCAGGCTGGCCCAGAGGTTAGGATGCTGGGTGAGCGAAGTCAGCGATCGGGCTGCATTGCCGCTCCTTTGGTGTGGAAAAACTGCAGGTGAAAATGCGCTGTTCATCCTCACAGCTCGCTGGGGACAAACTCCCTGTTCATTGTCAAACACCTAATGGAAAGGACAGTCCAAAGACATCAGAAGCACTAATAAGTCTGCTGAGTTTATTATGTTTATATATGTGCTCTACCTTTAGAGCTGTGCTCTGCAGACTCTGTATAGTAAGCTTGAGGTGACGCAGCAGGAAAGGCCAGGAGTTTATAAGGTAGATTCTGTCCATGGCTACCATAACAATACTGTACCAACGCTGGAAGCCTCTAGCGAGACTGTCTTTGATAAAGAAGGTATGTGAGAACACAAATCCATGTTGCTCATCTCCGAAAAAAATGGGCCCTTCACGTCCGGGACACACCTGACACCAAAACAAACAGAAAACATAACGAAGTATGTCAGTAATCAGCCGATTAAAGCCCACAGACAACACCCACATAAACATGTCACTAATTACCTCACAGCTGAGACTGCGTACGCAAGCCTGTCGGACCACGCTGAAAAGCTGGGGCTGTCTGGGGTGCTGGTGGCTCAGGAAGCGGATGCCTGTTTCATCATCAATGCTAACAAAGCCCGGGTGAGATGCAGGCAAGGATCGGCAACCCTATGAGACAAAAAAAAAGGAAATCAGTACTTTAAGGCTGAAAATTAATGAAGGAACAAATAAAGCGAGGGATCCAAGCATCTGATAAGGTCACAGTCAGGCCCCTTCTACTCACCTCACACATTTCTTTCTGTGTGGCTGAGCTGTTGGCCTTCATGGTTAGACCTTCACCATCACGGTCACCATCTCGGTCCCCTGGCATTTGGGCACCTACCTGGGATGAAGGGGATGGGGAAGGCGGGTGTAGTGCCTCTGTGCAGAACAGGGTTCGAGGGCCATGGAGCTCACAGAAGTGACAGAGAGCCACCAGAGCATTCATCTGAAAGAACAAGACAAGTTTTCATATGTTTACTGTGCTAAAGATGTCTGATTTAGATCAGAACACCTACCGTCATGACACCCATATCTAGTTCTGGTTAATCACTGACGTTACCAGATTACACTGGGGTTAAAATACGGGTACAGGTGGCAGTATGAGACGGGTCTTACCTTCAGTGCAGAACCAAGTTCAACAAATGACTGGTGACACTTCACAAAGAGGCATTCATTGGACGTAGTGTTCAAAAAGCCGTGCCGTTAAAAGAAATAACAGCGCCGTGAAACAAAATCAAATCTTCATCGAGCCTGTATTTTAAAAAGCCATCGTTCCTAACATTTTAATTGAGGCTTTCTACACTTTGTTGTCCTCTGTGTAGCTGCCAGCAGGCAACAAAAACAGACCTCGTCACATGATGCAGAGTCACGCGCTCGGGCACAAATGACGCGTGGCTGCCAACTGCTGCTCTTTTTCTCAGTTTTATCCGTCGAATCAAAAACATCTTTAATGCTTTACCAGTGACGCGAAAGCACGCGAACATATTTAAGAGTTTTTCGACTTTTCTGTGTTCCAATATCAGGCTCTATGTACGACAAACGAGGCATTCCTCGGCAAACGAAAAAGTGGAACTACATTACCCATAACCCAATCTGGTATAACAAACAACGGGTTAAAGGGCAATAAAAAAAAGTCGGAACTGTTTTCATTGAAGGTTTGTGTACTAAAAGGTATGTTCCGGTTGATTTATAAGCGTATATATGGTTTGAATATACTATTTTAGCAGACTAGCTGGTTTATTAGCTTTTCTTTTAACACTGTACAACGTTAATCCGTCACTTCCGCATTAAAACATGAATTTTTTATAGGTGTGTCACTCTTAAGTGGTCAACAAAGAGATAACTTGTACACAGTGACACGGCAGATTTCTCTGACTTTTAAATTTCAGATCTTAGGATGGCTTCAGGTGGATCAGGAGTTCCCCCCACCGACCCGACTGACACACCGAGTCCACAGGCAGGGGTCCCCGCTGACTCTCAGAGTGGCAAAGACACCCCAAAAGCCAAAGAAGGTAAATCAGTTTCGCACATTTACTATATGTAATCTAAAGTGAGTCTGTGAAACCTAAGGTGATTTGAAACACATCTTGTTATTAGACATTTACAGTAAAATCCTGCTGGTTGACTCATATGATTACACCAGCTTATTGTTTTCCTTGTAATCCACTTATAAATCATATTGTTCAGTCTGTGGTGTGTTTCTGTGTTACTCTGAGCAATAGTTCTGGCCAGGTCTTAGTTTTGTAATCGTGTGGCCGGAGCCTCTTATCATCAGAACGGGGGCTGAAGGATGGAGTCCAGTACTGTATTGAACTGTTTCCTACATTTTTCACGTCCTGCTAGGCCACTCTGCTTAGCTGGAAATGTTTCAGGATTGACTGACTCTGATCTGCCCGCTTCAGCGGACTAATCTGTGGATTAACTTTATATTTACTAAAGAATTTCAAAGTTGTAATGTTTAATTTTTATGCTTAGACATTTACTTATAGGCATTCAATTTGAGAGAGTTGAAAACTCTCCCAAAATTTGTGGCTGATCCAGACAACCATCTCCCTTTCTAAGAAATAACTCAGAGCTAATAAGTAAAGTATTTGTGTCATGAGTCACGTCCATTTCTCCTGTCTCTAAATAGTATTGCAGGATGTGTTATTTGGGTGTAAAGGCAACTTCGTCATGTACAGCATACTTGGCTGACATTTGAGTCCTCTGAGTTGAGTCACTGCCACCTGTCATATGATAATACTCAGTGGAAGTGGACTGGAGATGGACTGTACACGTCATTTTCCCCATGCCTCTTTCTCACTCATTTATTTATGACACAGCATGGTAACGGGAATGATAAGAGGGTTTTCTAATAAATGAACAGACGATAAGGAATCCTTTTTCCAGATGTCTGTGTGGGTGACATAGACTGATGCGGAAGCTCATATAAGACACCAGCCAAAATGTAAACACACCCAGAAGCAAACGCTGAAAATATACATGAACAAAAATCAGAAAGAAAAGTACTGCACGGCTCTCATGGCTGATCTGACAGGTGCTCATCGGTGGCAGCAGTAGAAAAAACAAAATCCAAGACAACTTGCTCAGTATTATGTGGTGCAAGGACCCTGTGGTACTTCATCAGGATCTCAGATTTTTTTTCTTCCACTTTACTTTAAGAATGAACTTAAAACTTGTAATTTTACCAGAGGCCAAAGTGTCTCATTTGTTTTCTATGGTTACAATTACACAACATAATTTTATAACTTTTTCATGGATTTTGTTCTAAGTAGAAACATACTACATCTTCTAAAAGTATGGTATAAGTAGCACATGTGTGATCTGATATTGTTAATTTATCATTCATATCGCTTTGCTGAACACTTTAACAGCCACTACAGTCACTACAGATCGTTTCACTGATAGTGAAAACTACTATAAACTAACAGGGTGTAAATTTCCTCTGTTTTAGAGCTGGGATCAATGTGAAGAAATACAATCTTAGAACTCGCAGTTTTTGGAAGTTGGACTTTTTGTAGGATTCAGCGTAGCCCATGACCCAGACACACAGGGTCAGCAAGGAAGTACATTTGGGTAGTGATGTTGTTTCTTATGAAACTCACTTGTTTTAACATTAAAACACCACCACCTCTGTGGATCGGTTAAATGTGAAGTAAAACCCTGGCTTGTTTTTCAAAGAGAAAGCACAACTGAATCAGGAAGAAGCTAAAATGAAAGGTGTCTATCTAAATTTGGCAGATTTCTTGTGAACTTGCAGACTGACACCAGCCACACTGTCTCTTTTTAGAGATCTAAAGAGGGGCACAGCATTTTTACAGCTACAATTAAATTTTTTTTTAAAAAAAATAGATTCATAAGTCAGTTATGCTAATAAATTATGCAGCAATCTTAGCAGAAGATTACAAGTTTCTCACATTGATTTTTTTGGCCTGTGAAAATGAACAAGGGGCCAGGGTAAAAGTCAGCTCTACGGTTCTAGTGGTCCAATGGCGAAAAACATTATTTTGAGTACTGGCTTATTGTAGCAAAGACGGGTACCTAAAATTACGAGTGACCATATAAGATGCTGTAACATGCCTTGGGACTGCTTTAAACAAAACCTGTTGATCTCTTCTGCCATTACATTGTTTTGTTTTTTTGACATAGTTTGAATGCAGAAGAAAGGGTGAAATGCTGCATGACTTCTGTTCAGTGTTATTAAACGTTGGCTCTTTTTATTTTTAACCTTTTGTTCTGTCTCTCCCTCTGGCGCCCTGTCTTTCAGAGTCAGCAGAACGTTGCAAGGATGGAGCCAAAGTGTGCCAGTTTTTCCGGATAGGAAAATGTCATTTTGGCCTCAGATGCCGTTTAGCTCACAGGTTTGCTCTCCTTACTTTATTCAGAAAAGTCATCAGAAGCATAAATGAGGATTTATAGTTTTTTTTCCAGATAATTTCTTGACATCTTGTGGATTTATTTTCAAAATTAACACAAAAAACTTTGGAAATTATTGTAGAATAGCTGCTGTTTATCTTCAGATCACAGATGTTAGAAGCTTGGTTTGGAGACAGAGAGACATGGATGTAAATATCTTTGGAATGACCTTTTGTCTGCATTTTTTTTTTATCTGCAGGACAGTTGGCTAGATATGATGAATACTCTCACTGATGAAATTTCTGTCTCAATCTCCTTGTCTCTGCATTTTTTCCACTGCTGCTCTCTTTCTTAGTGACCCATTACAGGATGATTCAGGGGCTCTGTGTCCTGGTGTGGATGAAAAACAGGAAGAAGAAAAGACACAAGAAAAACACAAGAACAAGAAGGGCAGTGTGAATAAAGTGCCAAAGCACAACGAGAGAAGAGGTGACGCATTTATTTAACTTTCTGTGAGAACATACTTCCATGAGACCAATTACACTTTATACTCTTTGAACTTGTCCGTTCACTTTTTTAAAACTGTTTCTCTTCAGCAGAGGTGAACAAAAAGCCTCGTATGCGCACAGCAGATGAAGTGATCTCCCGGATCCTGTGGGACCCATCGGTGGACGCATCAGAATTTGTAGTGGGCTATGTGGATCGATTCCTCGGCGTGCTGGAGCGCCCCTTCTGTGACTTCAACTGGGAGACCAACCCGTGTGACTGTGATTACACTGTTGAGCTGGCCTTGCCCAGACACAGGATCCAGTACTTCACTTACAGAGGGCACCGTGTCTGGGACCGCCACACCAGGACTGACCGAGTTTTCGGTTCCACAGGTCAATCTCTGGCTCCCCCCTTTGGAGGGGAAGAGGAAGTAAGAGGTAGGACAAGCAGCTTTGGTGCTGCCAGACCTTACATGTGACCACATGTATTCTGCAAGATGACTGAATGTTACGTTTTGTTTTAGAAGAAAATACAGCAGCGCTTGAAACAACTAACGAGCAGCCACCTGCAGAGGAAGAGAAGCAGAATGAGACAAATATTCACACCCCTGAGTCTGCACCACCACCACCAGAGTGTACAGGAAACACTTCTCAGGAACAACAGGAGTCACGAGGACCATGTGTTGAGGAGGAGGCTGCAGATAGGTCTGGTGTTCGTGTTGCTCGTTTAAATATAACTCAGAACAGATCTTAAGTAAAACAACCCCCACCCCCCCAAAATCATTGTTAGCATCTACACATTGTTTTCCCAAATCACTTTGTGCAAAATGTTAAAACACTTAAAATGAGAAAGATGCTTGAGGATCTTCAGCATCAGTGATTTGAGGCAGAATCTAAAGGTGGGGGTATATTATAGTAAGAGATTTAAATCAGACCCTTTTTGATTGGAGCATTCAAATGGCATGCTACTATCTAGAGGTCTGAGGACCTCCACCCACATCTCTTTCACTCACACCTCTGCATCAGGAAGACGAGAATAAGAGAAAAGCTGAGAAATGCACTCCAGTTATAGCTTGCCTTCCTCAAATAACAACCTCATTCAGGCAATATACCCCCTTCCCCCCCAAAAAAACTAAAAAAAAACAAAAAACAAACAAAAAAAACATGGGCTTTTAATATAAAAAAAACTCCAAAAAAATCCTTTTGTGACACATGTTAGGTATGTAACAAGCTGTAAGAGAATGAAAAGAACTTGCAATTAAAAGTTAGAGAATGGATTTTTCAAAATGTGTGTTTACAGCTGGCTCTTTATTGATTTTGCTCACCTGCTTTGATTTCAGACATCAGGTTTCAGCAGATCAGAGTTCCTCAAGCGAAGAGGAGGCACCGGGTGTAAAAGAGGAGGGTGAGGGGGAGATTCTGCCAGAATGGGAGGAAAGCTGGGAAGGCCATGAAGACTGTATAGTGAGTACAGCACATCTGGCCATGAAATCTTGCTTTTACACTGTATGTTATGTTATTTGAATGTTTCCTTTCTACTACAGAGTTATCCTGCAGTTCAACAAGTTAGCAAGAATCCATCTGTACCTCTGGAGCAAAGAGAAGAGAAGCGTGGTGGTCGCCCCCCTAAGAAGAGACCCACACACTTCATCACCTTCCGGGCCAACACTCCTGCCATCCTCTCCTGTTTCCAGCAGTTGCAGAAGGAGCTCACCTCCCTCATACCTTCCTCTGCTCCTCACTGGCAAACCGCCTCCAGCCTTCACGTCACCCTGTGCCTCCTGGTGCTGCACAGCCCCGCTGAGGTGGCGGCTGCTGGGGAGATCCTCCAACGGTTTGCACAACTGGACCGAAACCCGCCGGTAGCTGTGACCTTTCCTGTGAAGCTGAAACATTTCAATGGGAAGGTGCTGTACCTGAGTCCTCAGCCTCAGCTCCACCTACAACAGCTCAACAGCGGTCTGCAGGAGGCCTACAGGAAAGAGGGTTTTCTCCACAGGAACTCCTACAACCCACGCTACCACCTCAGTCTGGCCAGGGTACTGGACAGGGAGGGCGAGAAGATATTTGAAGGTGTGGGGGACCTGAGGGTGGGGAAGGGCTTAAACTTTGGGCGTCTGCCAGTTAACACCTTACACCTGTGTGCCATGGGCGGCTCTAAAGTAGACGGTTTTTATGAGAGGGTGTGCTCGGTAACACTTCGATGATAAAGAAGTCAGATTTGCAGACATTACTGGGTGCAATAAGCCACGTGGCCTCGTCTACCAAAGCTGATGCCTCTGAATTAAACTTTATAAGAAGTTTTGTTTATTCAGATAAGATGCACATTTTTTAATGAAGGCCGTAAAAGGTGTAAAAATATAATTTCGTTAAATTTATTAGATATAAATACTTCATTTAAATTAAAAATATGATCAAAGTTATATTTGTTTTCCCATTTAATGCATTTGAATCTGTTAAGGCAGCGGTCCCCAACCTTTTTTGCGCCACGGACCGGTTTATGCCTGGCAATATTTTCACGGACTGGCCTTTAAGGTGTCGCGGATAAATACAACAAAATAAAACTAGTACCGGTACTGAAAAAAAGAAGATTTATTCATAACACACGTGAAAAGACCCAGGAAAACCGAGTTAACGATAAAAACGATAACAAAATAACGCTGAAAACCGATAAAAACCCTGAAAACTATACATTTCACACCTGAGCCTCAACTCTCGCGGCCCGGTACCAAACGACTCACGGACCGGTACCGGTCCAAGGCCCGGGGGTTGGGGACCGCTGTGTTAAGGTACTAAATCTCATGTTTCATATTTCTAGATGAGATATAGAGGAAAGAAAAGGGCGGGGATGGGCTGTAAACATCACTAAAGCTTAAAACAACATCCTGGCTACAATACAACATATAAACAATTAATCCACAATTTTGAAAAAACTGCTTAAGGTGCTGAAGTTTTTAGAGCAGCAGTCCATTTTAAAATGTTAGCTCTGGTTCTTTTAGCCATGGATCTTTACTGCACAGTTTTCTTGTTATGGTGTCCTCAGTGTCATCAGCCTGCTTAAGTTCTGGTTCACTGGTGAATTCGGTGGTTGTGATGTTTTATTTGCTACAGCTAATCATATTTGGGAAAATCCAGAAATGAATCCATAATTATTTAACAATCAATAAGCCAAATAATGTTTTGCTTGGAGAGCCTTTTATGTAGAGACAGTAAAAACCATGAAGAACTGTTTGTGCAAACATGAGCTGGAGCTCAATAATATTTATGTCTAATTGACTCGGGACCATGAGTTTGATAATATTAATATTGTTTTTTATTGCTATGAAGAACTTTAAGAATGTTTTAATTGGTCATCTGTTTTTCTTGGTGCAGAAATGCTTGTTATACTTTATATCTGATGGGCCTAATGATTGGGGTTAACTTTGACCTGTAAGCATGCTTAATTTACACTGTTTTACTACTGCACAGACAATAAATTTGAAGCTGATTATGGACACATAAAGTCTTCTTTTTATAGGCCTGAATAATTGCTGTTCGTAATTCAGGGACTTGTACAATGGGAATGTTGCATGGACTGCGCTCCAACAGAATGATCCCTTTGTACTCTTTTTACAAATGATTATGACCACTAGATTATCATGTGGATTAAATATTGAATTGGTTATTTTAAAGTCGTGTGAGTGGTGATGTGCCAGCGCCGTTATAAATGCCTTCATTGTGGTGCCGAGGATGTGGAAACGCTCCCTGAGCTGAAATCTTACATGCATCCCTTTCTGCTCCCCCTTCTTCTTCCTCCCAGATACATAAACACTATACATAGACTATATGAGTCAGTGAGTATGCTCTCTGGCTCTCAATCGTGTCTGCACTCCCTCACTTGCATTATCTCCCTTCCCCCACTCTTTTTCAGTGACACAGAAAAACTAACGCCGCCCCCTCCCTCTTCGCTCGCCTGCTTCTGCCCCCCTTACTCCAGTGGCAGACAAACACCGTACTCTTTTTTTTTTTCGCTGCAATTCAACATTATGTTGTCAATTTGCATTTTCTCAGTCCAGTCCAATTCCCCCCACCCGCGACCTAACAGAACATCTCCATCCGTGCACTCCCATCACTTGTGTCACGTTGTTGCACATTCTCCGCTGCCTCCCAGTCTCTGAATCACTGTTGATGTTGTCCTGCAGCCTCCGCTGAAAACTGGTTTTGCCTACAAATCCATTGCATGCTGCTTTGCCCCTCTCTGTTCATTGTTCACTCCATCTCTGGCTCCCTCCCTCCTCTTTCTCTCAGCATCACTCCCTGGGAACCCACTTTTTTTTTCTCTTCTACTCAGTATTTCATGTTGCCTTTCTCTGCATCTCCCACTCCCCGTTTTCTTTTCAATGTGCCTCTCTTCCCCCATTTTTCTGTGCATCTCTTCCTCTCATTAGCCCTCATCAGACTGAGAGAGGAGTTCACTATTGTGTATCCAGCGTGTGAGTGGATTTTTAAAAATCTCTTTTTCCTGATTTGTTTAGTGCACACAGTTGGCTGGCAGCTTTGCATTTTTACTCTTTCTCTTGTTAATCTGGTCAGGGTTCAGTCTGGTGCTCTGGAGAGAGATTGGTCAGGTTGATGTTGGTGGGGGTCGGCATTAGAAGTGCGCCCCAGCTATGAAGTCAGCGAGGGGTTAGACTCCGCTAATCCGTGTTAACAGATTAATTATCTTTGGGTAATATCGTGTCACTGCGGTGTTGTGAAGTCGCTCGGGTGTTAGGCTATGAAGGGCTACAGTGCAACGATAAAGAGTCCCTTAGGGGTGTCTCCTCAATCTTAATCCCCCTTTCTCTCTCTCTCTCTCTCTCCCTCTCTCCATCTATCTCACTCTCTCCCACTCTCACTCACTCGCGCTCACTCAGAGATCCTCTCCCATCCATCAACACAAGCACCTCTCTACTGTCATCAGACGACCAGACACTTATCGGCCATTTAATATTTGAATAACTACCAGAATTGCCGTCTTCATTTTTGTGCTTTTTGTCATATTTTTGGCATGTCTCCAAGCCATTTTTTCAGGATGATGTTTTCTCAAGAGCATCAGGCGGTGATGGCTGGCAGTATACCTCTCTGAGTGGTTAAATATTTCACGGACGCCGGCAGAGAGAAGAGACAGAAGGAGAGAGAAACCTCCCAACACAACCGACAGAGGTAAGAGACTGACCCCTCTCTTTGTCGATTAGTGGCTTAATTGCTGATGTACTTGCAGAGATTGGCCAATTAAAAATGTACATTACACCAAATCACAGTGTTTTCCCAATTTGGGCTCACGCTTATCTTGGCAAATATGATTAATGGATGATCATGACACCATTAGACTGTGTTGCCAAAGGAGATCCATGCTTATCTTTTCCAACCACGACACTTAATAGGGGTCTGCTGCCTATCAGAGTAATGTGAAAATGCTGTATTGAGTTTTATTGCAGTTTCTCAGGGAAATCCTATGCTTTCCACCTAATTGGAGTTTCATATGACTTGGAGCTTGTCTTTTTTCATGATTTTCACCATCTGCAGGATAATTTACTGTCATCAGTGGGAACACACTGTGTCACCCTCAACTTCATGCCATGCTGGACCCCTCGCACACATCAAAGCTTTGATTTGCACTGACTTTCTGAGTACGAGCTGCACTCGCTTACCTTCGGTCAGCTGACTTTGAAGGTTCATTGTTGCAGCTGAACATTAATTTTGAACATAGACGTGAGGTAGAAATTTATTTTGAGGTTTGACTGTCCCTCGGCTTTTACATGGGAGAGGAATTCAACTATACAGAGACGTTACTGAATTTCTTCTGGCCGATGAAGTGTCAAGAGGGTTTTTTTTTAATGTTGTGTCATAAATTCTGGTTATCAAGGTTGGTTTTAAGAAGCTCCACGCACAGGCTGTTATGTGAACGATAACAGGTTTTATGAGCCCAGACTGCAAACGAGCATAGTTCCAGCAGCAAGCCAACAGCATTATTTATATCTTGTGATTCAAAGAGATGTAGCCTCATAAAAAAAGAAAAGGTGCAGAATGATTTTCCCCGTGCTAAAGATGATCCTAAATTCAGCTGACAGAAGATGCTTCAGCCTTATTCCCATTAGCTGCCTCACAAAATGGCCCTTTTTTAAAAAAATCAGACATCATGGAGTCTCGTATAAACCAACTGAGTATATCTTCTGTGTTTTCTGAGCTCTGCACAGACAAAAGACAACACATTTGTTCTCCTGCTTTGTTTTCTTTTTATTTATTTATTTAGTTATTTAGTTATTTAGTTATCTCTCAGAGCTCAGAGCCATGGTGAGAATCTGTGGTTTTCCTCCATCTCTTTCATTGTCTCTCGTGTTCTTTCCTTCTCCTTTTTTCATCTTTTCTCTCCACCAACTGTGCCTAAAATCACATTTATTTGCCTTCAGTTACGCAATGGTAGCTGGCATAATAACAAGCTGGCAGGAAACATCATGTCAACTTGAGGGTTTTTATCTATGACAACTGCTGAGTAACTGGAGCTCCTCCTGGACTGTAACCACCCCCCACCCCCTCCCATCAAACTTCCATCAGCGCCTCATTAGGTGTTCCTCTACTTTTTGGTTTTGCAGCAGAATCCTACCTGAACTTTGACCAGACATCTGTCATAACTGTGCATTTCCTCTTTCTCACACCCTGACCGGCTTAATTTTGTGCATGAATTGATCCAGATAGCTTTGCTCTCAGGCTATTGACTCATATCGCTTTACCATTAACTATTCAGCAATGGCATTTATGTGAGGTTTTCTGCTTCTGTTACCACTGATGGGCCTCACAGTGACATTCACTGCATTGTTGTTCGTCAAAGGAAGTGCTTTTCCACACTGACCCACTTCTCATCAGGTTCTCCTTTGATGTTGAATTAGTCCCTTACTTGTTATGGATCTCAAAGAGCTTTTACCCTCAAAGTTTGATAAATGCATCTCATAGACATGCTTCAATATAGATAACCTAATAAACACACTTAAGATAAATGGTACAGTAGGAAATGTAATACTGGACGACTTAGTACAGAAGTCTGTTTACACTGCCGATTTGTGTTGGATGGATGTAGTTCTCACAGTGTGTGAACCATTATGTTCAGCACAGTTTTAATAAGGGAAATGGAGTGTTGGCTGTGATTTGATTTGTGACAGTTGGGCTGCTGGAACCATTAAGGTGAACAGGCTTATTGTAATGGGCTTAGAGAAGCCCTGTCTGCCCCGTGGGTGAGCCGTTAACTCGTTCTGGGCCGCAAAAATCTGAATGGCCAAACTGTTTGGGCTTTGAATGTGACATGTGGCAAAATCCAAACTTTTATCACGCACAGTATTTAGTACAGTTATGTGCAGTGGCTTGTAAGAATCAGAGCCACTGTGTGGGTGATTCAATAGGAAGAGTGAAAAAAGTGTCTCTTAAGTAGAACATTGTGCTAGCTGAAGCTACTGGACAAATCACAGTG